CCGCGCATCGACCGCCAAGTGTCCGACAGCATACTAGTCGAATTAGACCAATTCTTGTTAAAAATTCTGGGTTCAGCAAAGAGGTTTGGTTCATATTATTAGATAATGAATCCGTTAACTCAAAAGGTAAAGTCAAATATCATTTCTCGCAGCCCTTTAATTTATCGTTTATCTCAATATCTGTTTTCAATAAAATTTTAATTGTTCTTTTGATAATTGCACTGGCCTATAGCCAAAAAATGTAAAGAACAGCATTAATATTGCTGGTGTGCATTTAGATCGCTGGTTCCAAATATTCTAATCTTTTTTTAATATTAGCTATAGTTTGCGAATTTTCACAAATTTATGAGCAATTTCGGTAGTTCTAATAGAAAAGCCATTATTTACCATCATCGTGGAAAAATTCTGTTTATGCAAATGAGTATGGAAGCACTGAACAGGCGCAACTTCTTGAAGCACTAATTAGTTTACTTATGTTTATGCATATGCTATAAAAATTGCAAATACATATAGGAAAATGACAAAAAAATTTGTTCAAATTTTTTTTTTTATTTAAATATAATTTGTTTATAATCTGAAAGATTTTCATCATATAATTATCATAAATCAGTAACAGTAAGTCTTGCCTTCATTTTGGTAATTATTACGTACCGATCGAGTAACATTTACTAATGTTATATCGAAAAACTTAAGTGGATCTCCAGTTTTTTTCTAAAAAAATTTCTCTTCAATCAAGTAAATAAAAATTGAAGCTAGTATGGAAAATAGGTTTGTAACGGTATTTTTAATAAAATATTCAGTTAAAATATAATTAAATGGCATGATATGTGAAGCAGAAAAATGTGACCACGGTGGCACAGAGAAGAAGCTAAACTTTTCCTCGAGTTGTGTGAATAACAAGCACAACCAATTTGACAGCTAACGAGCTTTGATTGAGATTATATTTATGTATATGTAAACGTACTTTTATGCTTTGCCGTTCGCATATGTTTTACACATCAAATTTCATGAGTACCTAGTACGCACGCCTTTTTTCTTTTAGAAAATCAGCATTTAAGTTTTGCAACGACGATACTGAAGTAAAAAGAGATATTTTATCAACGCTTTGATGCGATGAGTATTTCTGTTTTACTAAAAAAACAAAATTCGAATAATGCCCCATAATTTCTATATTTGGCATATTAAACATATACTTTTTTTATTATTCTGTCGCTGGTAATTGAGCTCATTTTCTAAAATGCCACTTTATAATCTCGCCATAAAATTTTCAAATCATCTCTCAGCTAAAGGGATAAATACTCAGCAAAGGGTAATACTTATGCATTTACCAATAAATCCCTTTATATATCGATAAATATTAATTCAAATAGAGAAAATTTATTTCAACCTCGTTATTATACCTACCACTATTTATTTTTTTAGCAAAAAAGGAAAAAGCAATAAAGTCTTAGCACAAAGGAAATTTATTTGTAAGTTCTAAAACGGAGCAGCGTTTTAAGCTCATTACCTAAGTAAAATACTGCAAATGCATATGTATGTATGTGTATGTAAAATAATCGATATCGCCCACTGAATATTAAACCATACATACATATATATATATATATATATCGCACATCATTCTATTAACAAGAAATAACAGAGATATGGATTATCTATCTAGCCAAGTAGATTATAGTGACAAGCCTCTTTATGCATCCAAAAATAAAAATCTAAACGATAAGTGTTGATAATGAGAACGTATACATACGTACAAACATACATAGGCATGTAAAAGTTAAAACTCTCCAAAAAGAAAAAAAAAGAAAAATACTAATTATAAAATAAAAATAAAAATTAAATTATTGCGGAACAAATTATAATTTCGCAAATAAAAAATACTGTAATAAATTTTGGACTATGAAAGCTTGGCAACCAATTCAAAGGCAGCTTGAAAATTTAATCAATCAATTTTGGCCTATCAAACCTTTCAACCTATTTCAAACATAGCTTGAAAATGTAATCGGTTAAGACCTGAGAGCCGTATGCAAAAAAAAATTCAAATATTGTTTGAATATAACTATAAAATTATGTGTATAAAAATTCCAAACTATTAATTCATTAAATAGTTAATTAATTTAATATCGGAAAAAGATTCAAACATTTTAATAAAAAATTGCGTTTTCTTATATAAAATTTTCTTTTCATATTTTAAATTAATACATTGTTTTCGCGCATTGAGTGCATTTATGCACACAGGTTCGCAAATATTTTTTTTTATAAAATATTTAACTTTTTAATAAATTTTTGTTTTCGAATGTTTTTAATTTTAAAAGCGACTTGGAATTTAAAGCTGGTTTAGTAAAAAAAAATGTGTGTAATATAATGTATTATTTTTTTTCACATCACTTTCTTGCTCGTAATTTAAGCCGCTATACATTGTAGCCCACAACCCTAATTCAATTTAATTAAATTTTCTAGCAGTCTACATACACATGAATATTCATTGTCATATCTAAATGCAGGCCCTTATGCCTGTATGCCTCACTGTGCACGTAATCACATTTTTAATGATTATTATGATTGTCACAATTACTATAATATTAATTTTTTTCGTGTTTTTTTACTCATCCAACAACGCTCTTTGCATTTGTTGGTAGCTACAGTTTATCGCTTTCACCCGCACACTGCCTGCAAACCCGTTTCCACAGCAGCTTTATTCTGATATATTGGACTCGCATCCTGTTGGTATTAACTTTCAAAAGTAAAAAAAAAATCCAACTACGAAAAATATTAAAAATTAATAAATAAAACAAAAGTAGAAAAAATCAACGAAGAAACAGCATGAGTTCACGGCAGCGGCGGCGCACAGCGAATGTATCGAACTACAACAACAGCAGCGAACGAAACTAGCGCAGTAATTTTATTTTATTAAATATTTTTGTAAAATAATTTTTCCAAATATTTTCTACAGCTTTACAACGGTCTGCAAGCGCTGCAGACATTTTGTAGTTCTGTCGATCCAAACGTTCGTATGCCTGTCTGTCGCATCCGTTCCTTCTTTCGTGCGTCCGCTGCTTGCTCGGCACTCATCCAACGCGCGGCTACAAAACGTCTAAAAAGATGACCTCTTTCCGGCTGTAAATATACCTGGTACATAATGAAAAGTAAATATGAGAACCGAAGCGGCAGCGGGAGTAAAAAAAAAGTTCGAAATTATTCTCGTCCATAGTTATAGCCATATGCGCTCTGCAAAGAGTCACGTAGGCACCGAACGGGAGAGGATTACAGAAGCCAAGCAAGTAGAATATACACGAAACGCAGGGATGGGGGGCTGCATGCACAGCAGGAGAGAGGGCAAGGTAGAGAACGCGAGAAAACGTGCTATGTATGAAACGCAGCCCCCAGCTGAGCCTAGTTGATTGTGAGCCAGCGAGCACAGGAGGAAGGGAAAGCATAGAATTGAAGTCAAAAAAGAAAGAGTTACATTAAATAACAAAGATATCTATGTACATACATATCTACCTATGTTAGTTATCGAACGACTTTCCATGCTCAAATTGGGGGACGAACAGCTGTTGGAGTGCGACCATGAGAGGGGTATGTACGAATGGCACTCACGAATGAGTGAACGAGAGAGTGGGGAAAAGCGGAAACGAGCTGCATACACTAACAATCATCTCAATGCTGGTTTTATCATTAAATAGCTGGATTATGTTTGGCAATAGGTGTTAGGGGTAGTAATGGCAGTAAGCACCCCACCAACCAGCAGGCGTCAGCCACCCATTTAGCAATCAGCAACACCTGAGCAAACTTTAGCAGCAAACGACCGGTAATAACAGGCGCTCATTTCGCTATTTGTAATGTGCGCGCTCTCGAGCTACAAATGTATATATGTCTCTAGCCTACTAGGTATGTCTCTTTCTACTTCAGCCCTCAGTCAGCAGTTATGTATTTGTAAAATTAATTTGTACTTTCATCATCCTTGCGCTGGCAAACATGTAAGAAACAACAATAACAAATACAGCTGTGACAAATGATTTGGTTAAACGTCAGCTGAAAGGTGGAGTACAACAACAACAACACCCGCAAGCAATGCATGCAGCCAACAATAATTGCATCAGCAAATGCATTTGAGCGCAGCTCTGTAGAGTAGTGCTACCCGATTACCACTTCTTTGCTCCACAACAGCGTTTGCACTCACTCAATCACACGCTCACGGCAAATTGAGCCATGCTCAGCTGTTTAAAGAACACCAAATTTCATGTGCTTTGCAATTCATATGGAATAGTAAATTTGTTTGTGAGTAGGCATTGGAGCATTAAAGCGATTTACAACACAATAGCACTGATTCTTTTGTGCAGATTCTATAGGGGAGCGCTCACCATAAACAACAACACCACTCAATTCGACACAAATTAACAAATGAGTGGGGTGCGGCGTCAAGAGGAGGTTCATATGTGCACGCACTCAGTGAATCGCATCGATAAACTAGTGGCGAGCTCACACAGTCTCACACTTTTTAGCCCCATTGTTCTTCTCGCTATGAAAAGAGCAAAAAAGCAAACAGCTCCACTTATCACGTTCCTCCACCCTTTCGATGAGTGTGTGTGCAACGTCCATAGCAGCAAAAGAAGAGCGCATAGTACGCTGAGCCAAAGGTGCGAGTGGATCAAATGACTCAAAACTACATAGGTACTCGTGCATATGTGGAGGAAAGCGCTCAGGCTTTGTGTGTACGTGCCTCCTATTGNGACTCAAAACTACATAGGTACTCGTGCATATGTGGAGGAAAGCGCTCAGGTTTTGTGTGTACGTGCCTCCTATTGTAGTTATATACTCAATGGTGCGGTGGCCGGCCGCTAGCAGCGACAACAGGCAGGATGGCTGACTAGCTGGCTGACTGGTTGATAAACAACGGTGAGCGGCAAGGCGGGGAACAAACCGCTCAGGCAGGCAAGCAGAAAAAATCAACTCGGGAGCAAACCACCACCGCGAGTATAAATAAGCGGCTCGTTCAGCCGGTTTGGCATAGTAGCTTCGAAACACTGCAGAGGTACACATCAAAAAACGGCAAAGTAGAAACTGAGTATATATTTAAAGAAGCGAGTCAAATAGATACTTATTTGTAGAAAGTGTGAAGAACGTGAGTTTCATTCAAAGCAAAGCAAGCAGTAAAATTAACAACAACAAAATTGTTTCAAGAAGAATTCTATCTATGCGAATAAGTTACGTTCTAGTACTTATTTTTTTTACAAAGAGAATAAACGCAGAAGGAACTCTGTAATTTTAACAAATTTAAAATTTTATGAAAACAAAAAATTGCCATCTCAAGCAAACAAATCTTATTGAAGAAAAGCTGAAACGGACCAACGCCATTTAAGTGATAATTTAACTATATAGCAGAATCAAGTGCTGTGATTTCAAACTACAAAAACGGTTAATTTAACAAAAAAATTAAAAAAAAAATTAACTAAAACGGCATTGGAAAGCAACCATAAACGCTAAGTTTCCGATGCAGCAACAGCAGCAAGCAATTCAACAACTTAATACAAAACGGAAATTCAGCAAATTGTGATATAGCAACAAAGGCAGATCGAAGTTAAAGCAGAGCAAGAACTTTTTCAAAAATCATTAAGAATATTTTTGAAAAAATCCAAGAACTGAACCTAAGCGTTCTAAGTGATATATATATATACATATAACCAGTGTGATTTCGACTGAAACTTACCTCCAGTCGAAATAATCGGGAGAAGAAGTGTGAAGCCAGCAAGCAGCGCTACCACCGAAAGCAATTTTGTATAAAAAAAATAATAATAATTCTGCAAATACATTTTTATTTACAAATAATTTAAATGAAAATGGAAGTACTTGCGGTGCAACAACAATATCAATCTAAGTATAATATATACGGGTCCAGTAAAGTAAGAGGTAAGTTGCGACAAAGAATGAGAAAATTTTAAGTTCACATAGAAATCGGAAAAAATTGCGGAAAATTCAGTTAACAGCATTGAAAAGAAGAAATGCTAAATAGATTTCTTGATAGATACTCGTATTTTGTATGATTGGAATTTAGAAAAATATAGAGAATTTTAGCTGAATTTTCTGGAAATTTTTCCGTACTTATATACTTGTACTTACATTAAAATAAAAGCCTACAAAATAAAGCGGAGCACCTTTAAAAAAATTATTGAAATTAAACTTTTTTAATATCAAAAAATTGTAATTTTTGAGCTTTCCCTTTAAATTAGATATCTTTATGTATGGTTTCAAAAGTTACTCAAACTTTTGTACTTAGGATTTGTTACTTTTTTTGGGGCTTTATACAACTTTTTCTTTTAAATTTGGAAATGTTACAATGTTGAAATTTTTTAGTATGTACGTTTTTAAGAAAATTTAATTTAAAACATTTTGTGCATTTAACGATTACTTTTGAAAATCTCCATTTTTGAAAATATTTTTTAATTAAATAAATTTTTAGAATTTTAAAATCATGAACATTTTTGCATTTGTTTTAGTTCCGAAAACCTCTTCTGCAAGGTTTACTTTATTAATACCTAGTTTTCAAAAAAACATTTTTAAAGACACAATTTAAAATTGCATTCACAAATTTTTGGCATGTAAAAGCAAACAGATTGCACACTTGACACTTTTTCCTACTGAACTAATTAATTTCGGACCCTTGCAATTATGTTTTCGTAAACAATTTGCAAAATCTTACGGTTTTGCACAAAAGAGCCACAAAAAAAGAATAGCAAATGAATTGCAACAAAGCAAAAAAAAAATAGTAGGTATCTATTAGATGCACACATAGCGGTTTCATGTGGGCGCACATACAGTTCACCGTCAACGCCGCCAATCAGCCATTCACCCTTTCGCACTCGTTCGCTCGCCGTGTGACGGGCGTTGCGTTGCGTTACGCACGAGCATTTTGTGCAAGTCGCCTGCTGGCCCAGCTCATACATAAGTACATACATACACACATATGTAACGCGCTGTACAAGTAAACAAGCTGCAATAACAGCAAAAACAAGTCGCACATAACGATAATCAACGTATGTATTTTGTAATTTTTTTTTTCCTCTTTTGGTTTTACAATTTTTATTTTTCCAACGTTTGTTGTTACCAAGCGGCTGCACAAAAGCAAAGCAAATGAACGCGAAGTGATGTAGCACATGTTCGTTAGATAGTTATTGCCATTGCGGGTGATCGAGGGGTGGATTAACGGGCAAACACATATATGTACATATGTATGTATGTATGTGCAGCGCAAGCGAGCGGCAGACGAACGACAGCCATCACGATGTTGGCGATGGCGATGGCGGTGGTGCAGACGTTGGTGGTGGTAACGGTGCCTCGGCTGCTGGCTGTTGCCATGCATGTATGCGAGTGTGTGCTCACCCACTTTACACTTTGCAGCGTATTTTCTCATAAAGATATGCTGCCTGCTCTTCGGCGGCCGCTGTTAGTGCGGCGTTTGCTTTCGTGTTTGCGCTGGCATAAGCAAGTGCCTGTGTGTGTGTGTGTGCGTGTTCGTTTCCATGCCACTCGAATATTCTAGAAAATTTATTTGCCTGCTTATTGTTTTAGTGTGCTAGTTTTTGTTGGTTTTTTTTTCTTTTCAATTCTTTATCTCGATTTACTTTGGCTGTAAGAAAAATAAACTTAGCGGCATTGCATACATACTTAGCTTAAAAACATATTTACACACCTTTATCAACATTTTACTAATCTCACTTCATTTTTGTTTTTTTCTCTTTTCACGTACAGATTGGACCAGCACATTATCGCCGCTCTTACCGCTCTCGTCATGCGCCTGCATCGACGCAGAGCCCGAGGTGGCTGTCAATCCACAGCCCACGGCCAGCATACCCATACCATATCTGCAGAATCAACAGAATTATCATATTAGCAACAACAACAATAACAATTATAACAACAACAATACCACAGTTAACAATAAAAATGCGAAAAACAGTATTATGCATCATAATATTAAGAAAACCAAACGCACAGCAAGCACTGAAGAGCTGCTGGCGGTGCCTGAGGTGATGATTGCCCCACCGTCGTTGAAGGAAGTGAAGAAGATGTCAGCGAGCCGTGTGGCCTCGGCACCTACCCCCTTCACCAACAGCCCATCTACGACTCCAGCCACCTTCAACGGCACCACCACAACCACTAAAACTGCAATCGTGGGCGGTAGCTACCTCACCATCCAGCACACACCCTCCCAGCATCCCTCAGCTAATCTCTTCAACTGTGATGATATCGATGCAGCAGCCGTTGATGATCTCTCACTGCGCCTGTTGGACGAGTTGCGTGCGGCCAAGCAGCGCAATCTCACCTGCACCGAAGTCTCCCTACCCTGTGATCTCACGCAGCGCATTGCCGCCGAAATAATACGAGTTTCGGAAAAGGAACCCTGCGGCATACGCGGCTGCACCATCTACATCGAATTCGAAGACGAACCGAATAATTCACGACGCATCGCCGAACTCAAATTGGATCCCGAAATGGTATCCACTTTCGAGATCTATCTCACACTGCGTCAAGATCATCGCGGCTGGACCTCATTGCTGCCACAATTCATGAAGAGTCTGGCACGCACAATCACCATCAGCCCAACATTCACAATCACCAAACACAAACTCTACTCACCGGATCGCACCAGTTACAGTTATAATGGCAGTGCATCCGCAGCGATCTCAACGCAAACATCGTGAATTGCAAACGTTGACCAGGGAGACGATGACGTCGGCCGCTGCGTTAAGCGTTCGTTGCGACAGCTCAGTTTAATGAGTTGGTGGCACGAGCGGCGGCAATGGCGATGGCGGCGACAACGAGACGAGCGAAATAGTGAGATGTCTGAATTGCGTGAATGTGGAGGCTGATGCTGAAGCTGTTGACGGTTGATATGGAAGCTGAAGGCGTCTGCGTTGTCAGTGCAGTTAACGACGATCGTTTAGCTGTCGTCGTGTGGAGCACGACGATCTTTAAGGAAGTGGTTCTTGAGGGAGATGAGTTTACGAGCCGACCATAACGAACGATTTGCTTTAAATATATGATATGATAACTGCTGCTCGACGATAAGACGACCTCGAAAAGATGAAGATGAAGATCGAACGTTCGAAATCGTGTAAGATGTTGAAGACGTGTTATTAAGTTAAGCATGTTTTTTTAACTATCCATTATTGCGTAATGCAAGAAGAGAAGTGTATTCGAAGCAACCCCACCTACATACATACAAACATACAGACAGAGATACATACAGACACAAACACAGTAAACATAATTTACTTACAGTATAAGCGAGGTCTAGTAGGGCCTGCTGCCACGACATTTTCCACTTTCACTTTTCACTTTTACTTTTTCGTTTCATAAAACACACCACACATACAAACGCAAATATACATACATAGGTACTACATACTACATAGGTATGTAGGTTTATCTCATTTAATGACGTATGAAACAAAGTATCTTTCAATTTGAAACAAAAATGAACTCGTTAGTTTTTAGTAAAGCGAATACGCGCCCACGAATGATCTGCATACATATTTAAAAGAAAAAAAATACAAAAAATAAATTTTAATAATAATGTGTACTAAAAGTTTTAAAAATTTTATTTTTACGTTTATTTTTTAAATTTTTGTAACAAATTTCTGTGAATGCAGTGAATGAACGTTTAGTAGTAGCGTTTAAGTCAATTGTCTTGATGATTGATTGATTGATTGATAGATTTTTGAAATTCAAAAGCAAGCAAAATTGCAGTTAATGCGAGCGGAAGTAGCAGTTGAAGAAGAAGAGGAGGCGAAATTAACGAAAATACATGAAATTTTAAGATTTCAACGGCTGCTGCGGCGAACAGCGCGCNTTCAAAAGCAAGCAAAATTGCAGTTAATGCGAGCGGAAGTAGCAGTTGAAGAAGAAGAGGAGGCGAAATTAACGAAAATACATGAAATTTTAAGATTTCAACGGCTGCCGCGGCGAACAGCGCGTACACCAACACCATCGCCACCCCCAAGAGCGGCCCACACAAGCTTATATTTGCCAATACGCTGCATATGTGTGCGTGCGTGTGTGTGTTAGAGCGGCGGAGAAAAGGGGTTGTGTGGCAGTGAAGCTAAGAGTGGTGTGCCCCCAACGCACGGCAGCTAAAATCTCAAACTCATGAAAATGTGATAACACTTTAAGATGCTAAGATTTTTTTTAATTAAATTAAGATTACGATGAGGTATAATAGGTGGAGAAGAGTAGCAGTTAAAAAAGCAAGAAGACGAAAAAAATATAAAAATTAAAAATTGATGTAGTTTGTGTGCAAAATTTTTTTCAAATAAAGTCGAGTAAGAGAAAAAAAACATAAATTACTTTAAAAAGCTGAAAAAAATTTGGCGTTAAAAAACTTTGTGTGAAAAATTTTGCAAAAAATTTGTAAAACTAAAAATTTTGTGGGAGAAGCAACATATGCGATATTGAGTAAAATTCAAATAAAAAAAAACTANTTTGTGTGCAAAATTTTTTTCAAATAAAGTCGAGTAAGAGAAAAAAAACAAAAATTACTTTAAAAAGCTGAAAAAAATTTGGCGTTGAAAAACTTTGTGTGAAAAATTTTGCAAAAAATTTGTAAAACTAAAAAATTTTGTGGGAGAAGCAACATATGCGATATTGAGTAAAATTCAAATAAAAAAAAACTTAAAACAAAAAAAATATTTGAAATCTTAAATTGTGTTTCAAATGTAACAAAAACTAGTATTAACAAATTCAAAACAACTATAAATTCCCAAAAAATTAAATCCAAAAAAAAAAACAAATAAAAAAATTTTAGTAACTACATAAAAACTTAAGATTTTTTCAAGTAAATTAAATTCCAAAAAAACAACAACAGTAATTTAGCAATAATTTCAAATGAAAAACAATCAAGCTTACACACACACACCTACAGAAGCGTACATACCTAAAAGGAAAACAGCTAAAATATGAAATAGCCTATTCCCAAAAACCAAAAATTTAACAAAAATACTGTGCATAGCAGTAAGCAATAAATAGTACCAGCAAAAACATATGCAAATTTCTATAAACAATAAACAAAACAACATATATATTAGTATGGCACAAAAACAAAACTGCAAGTGAACATTTAACATTTTAGCCCCCGAAAAATAATGGTAATAAATTCATGTTAGCAACAACAAAACCAAACAAGCTTGAAAATCAAAACGAAAGCAAAAAAACACAAAAACAAAAGAAAACTTAAATAGCCTATCTACTCATTGTGTAACCGTCATTAGGTATGTATGTACATAGCTAGTAACCGCAATTATGCAGCCGTAAGATCTTATTTGGCATACATATTAATTACAATGATTAATTAAATTTGAAATGAAATCAACAAACAAACAAACCCTGTGCATGTATTAATTTTTTTATTATTAGATACTACTATTACCACTATTACTATTATTATTGTACTATTATTATTATTACTATTATTACAAAAAACAAAGAATGATTGTATTAATGTTAAGTTTTTTTCTAATTACAAATTATGTATGCATTCAAGCAAGCATATTATGTATATGTATTTAAACTATAACGACTAAAACAACAACAACAACAAATTGTGTAACGATCAACAACTACACACACTACATTTTTACATACAAAACGCCGTTAAAGGTGCGTTAAATTTTTTCAAAACAAAAAAAAAAAACAAAAAAAAGCACAACACACAAAAAAAAATACAAAACAAAAAAGAACTGAATACAGCTAATGTTGCCAGATTAAAAGTAAAAAAATTACAAACAAACAAATGCATCAAAAATCCACAAATAAAGTGAAAAAATACTTTTTTGTAAAAATAAATTTGCTGACTTTTGAATTTTTGCGCTCAAAGAGGGAAAAGTGGGCAGGTAGAGTGTTGGGGAAAGAAGGCGAAATAGATAAGAAGAAGAGGAAATTTGTAAGTAACTTGTTCCAAAACTAATTGGCTTTAGCTGATGCTACTTGGCTTTGCTTTCTTTGCTGAATCGTTTGTTACGTTCCAGGTGTGAATTTTCCTTTTTCCGATGGATTTATTAGGAAACTATTCATTTTGAGTGGAACATAAAACTGCGCTCGTATCGTAGCTGTAACAAACCGTATAGCTGCTGATATAAAAGTTTTCCGATAAGATCGGGTAGATGTTGAAATGGATTGAAACTTTTATTTATTTGAAAAGCCACATAAATCTGGGTAAATTTGAATGATGGTCCCCGATGTGGGTTGGCATGGGCCTGCAACACAAGTAAATATCTAGCGGGGTCTAATTGCACAATCTTGGTAGCCAATTCACGTCACCTTTGCGAGAGGTAACTATACAACCCTAAAAATGTTTGGGCTGAAAATGGATATATGTATACTGGCGCACGGTGGGTGGTGCAATGGTGATAGACTGAAAAATAAATTATAGGTTAGACAGACGCCACCAACACAACATCGCCGTATGAGATTGCAAACGAAAAACGTGGAGCAATGCAACCACGGTTCGGTTACCACCTGGCAACGCAACTGGAATGAAAATTTGTATTACGAATCGCAACTATCGTTAATTGCTGTAGAGTTATCGATAATCGAAATTGGACAGTTGGGCAACCAGCAAGCGTCTGTAAACGAGCTGTGTGAGTAAAATTATATTATTGCAATAAAGTTTTAAAGAAAAGACAGCAATAAAGCTAAATTCATCACAATTATCTGTTTAAGAGGATGAGAAGTGCATGAATGCGGCCTCAATCAGGCGATACTTAAGGATAATTCCAATCCTCTAGTGCTATCGCGTGTGTTCATTTTGAAAG